GTTATTCGTGAATCAGGCAAAAAATCATTCGTAAATGCAATAACAAAAATCACATCTCAAACAATGGTGAAAACTTTCTTAATATCGTTCTAGGTGGTAAAACTTTTTTTTTTCAAAATATAAATTATTTTAACTAAAAGCGCGGATATTAAGAAACTATTTTTCTACGAAAATATGTACCTAGGACAATATGATAATGAATATTTGAACATAAAATGCATGAAAGTATCGAAATAACTAATAGTGCAATATAATAATGAAAATTTGAACATAAAATGCATGAAAGTATCGAAATAATTAATAGTGCAATATGATAATTAATAGTGCAATCACGAAATGATTTTTAATAAAAATAATTTGACCAATCACACAAAAGACTGCAAAATATTTGTGGCCACACAAGATCCAACAAAGCTAAAAAGTACATAGGATTGTCAAAACAGCTTATATTTTGAAATAAACAAAAAACCTCCAAAACAACTTACATTTTGAAACGGAAGGAGTAGAACGGAACTCATCTGCATGAAAGTATCAAAATAATTAATAGTGCAATATGATAATGAAAATTTGAACAGTAAATGCAAAATATAACTTTTGAATGTGTTTTTAATACCTGTGTTTTTGTAAGAATCAACTTTTCGGTCATATTGGTTGCTCATAGTGATATTGATTTTATAAGCACGAATCTTTCCTAGTGATTTGTAGAGAAYTCAYCAATGCTAAATATTAAATTAGGTATGGAGAATAGAGAACTCGCTATTGTGTATATTATGGGTTGTCTATTTGCAAAAATGCCACTAATTATGGATTTTTAAAGTCTAAATCTTAAAATTATAAACTCTAAAAAATGTGTTAACTTTTAAAAACCCTCTAGACCCTCAAAACTGAACTCTAATACAACATAATTAACCCAAATATGAATGATATAATGAATAAATGATTTTGAAAAAATGAAATTTTTGAAAAGTGGCATTTCAAAAATGGCATTTATCAAAATTTATCTAATTTTAAGTGATAACGTTTCAATTTTTTTTAGTATTCATTGACTTTTTTTTTTGCCCATTTTGATTAAGTTGTTTTGTAGGCCTTTGTTATATCACAAATTGGATTCCAAGCTTTGAGGTTTGCATCAAAACCTTTTGATCATGGCTCTTATAGAAAAACTTTGCATTCTGATAAATGTCTTCCATAAAACGCGAGTATATTTGCTGCAACGACATTTGTTGAAATTTGATGATAATGGAGGATTCAGGAGAAGGAGAAACTCTAAGCTTCGTCGACCTCGCGATATAAAGGAGAAACTCACTTGCAGAGTTTCACTTTTATGCCACCTTCAACACGTCTCTTAGACAAGCATGCTTTAACTGAAAGGAAAAATATGAGGATGGGAATGGGAATGGTAGATTCAACAAGTACGCGAACTCGGGCCTTGCAATATGGAAAAGATCCGTGTTCTCCCATTGGGTCGGGTCCTCTTGAATTTCCTGATGGCTTACCTTGCATCTCTTCCAAAAGTGAGTTGCACTTTATTTTTTCCCTTTAGCACAACAAAATGATACTTGCAAATGCTGATTCTGCTAACTTTCATCAATTCCAGGACAAAAACAGAAGCTTTCTAAAATAGAGCAACAATTCAAAAAGGAGGAAGCTGCACAGAGAAGGCGAATTCAGTCCGAGAAGGCTACCCAAGAAGCGGAGATGTTGCGACTCCAATTCGATTACGATGTTGA